TCCTCTTCAACAGAAGCCTTTTCCCCACAAATGTGATCCTGTAACAGCTTCAGACCACAGAGACCACCAAGCAGCCAAACCAGAAGACAACTAAGCCATTCACACAGCGCAAGCTCCAACTACAAGGCAGAAAAGCCTCAACCAAAGGCCCTTCAGCCATCTCCTCCCAATCCAACCTGAAGTGCAAACCCAGAATATTTTAAACTTCCCCAGCACAGTGCCAGCCAAACATCCATGGGGTCTTCTGGAGTTCCCAGTGTCCTTTGGAGGGATCCATCTCTTGTCATCTCAGCACCAGCCAGAAAGTCATGACTTGATGTGACTGCCTGCTCCTCCAGCAACCCTCCTCCAGAGCCCAGCTGTGAAGACTCAGCCCTGGACAAGATTTCATAACTGCTTCTCCTGGGTTTCTCAATGCTTAATCATTTTTTGCAGTCGTCTGCAAATGAGTCTAAGCCTTTGCTATGAGGAAGCAGAGGTATCTCCACCTCCCTTCCTGGTAATTCTGCTGGGGTGGGAAAAAATAAAAGCACATGTGACCGAATTGTTAATAAGACATCCCAAATACAAAAACAAGCTAATTAAAACCAGGCATGACCTATTCGTAAAACAAGTCCTTTCAACTGTAAAAGGAGAGCAGGAGCCTTTGAAGTCAGGCTTCATAATCCAGCAAGATCCCTGCCTCCACTGGTGACCTCAGCTGGAAGCTCATTCTTACCCAACATGGTGAAAGCCTTCCCAATGAAAGCTGAATTTAGAGCCAGCTTTGGTTTAACAACTGAACAAGCCTCAGGAGAACAAGTTAACCAGGGTACAGAGGAGTCTCTAGGGACTCTTCACCAAGGCTAGGATGCCTATGTGACTCCTCATGTGTTCCCAGCCATGGGGGACACCATCTCTCAGCAGAACTTTGCGTTGCCCTGCTGCACCCTGTCATGAAATGGGGAGGGTTGGGGTCCACCAAAAGATAAACTCCAGGAGAGGGGAGACTGTTGTCCCCTCACTGCCCCAAAAGAAGAGACATGGCAGAAGCAGTGATGCTGTGTCTCAGCCCAGGAGGACTCTGAATGAACATATAAACCCAGTGTCTGCAGGGAGAGGAGGCAGGAAAAGCCCAACTACTGCCAGGCTTTGAGGCAGCCCCCAGTGAGATCCAAGGGAAACCTCCTCCAGGGACAGCTCTGCCTAATTGCCCCAAGTTTCACACTCTCCTCCCATGCTTCCCCACTGAGGTCACCACCAGGGGCAGGACACTGGGCCACTTTGGCAACGCCCCGTGTGTCCACAGACTCATCATAACCCACTGCTGGAAACAACCACTGTTTGGGACATTTACCATGAATGGAGTCAGATGCCAAAGATAATCCCCTTATTAGGCTGATTCCTCTTCTGTTGCATCCTGAATGACTCAGAGATCAGAGAAAACTCAGCAGACCAAAGAAACTTTGGTGCTGGCTGAGAAAAGGCAGAGGAAAAGGCATTTGGGAGTGTCCACCAGGCACCAAACAGAAGGTTGTGCTGAGAGGAGCCAGGAGAACCGCAGAGGTTCCCATTGGTGCAGGCACAGTCAGAGGTCATCTACAGGTTCATCTGGTGTTAGGCAAGGGGTGATGCCACAACAGCCTCCCAAGCTAAGAAAGGACTTGTAGGACATTCATCCCTTCTGGGCAAAGCCACAGACAGACTGGAAACCAAAGGGACCAACAACGTCCCCATGGCAGGGCACTGTTTTGTAAGAGAACAGAGGATGTCCATGATAGCCTGGAAGGAGATTATCATGGACAGATAGTCCATGAACCAGCCCTCAAACTGCTGGGAACTTTTTTCTTCAAATTCAGACTAGCAAGAACAAACTACCCCACTAGAAATCCTACCCCAGCTTCCAACTTCTCCTTCTAAACACCAGTAGGGATTCACACAGATCCAAGGGACCAAAACCACAGACACAGGTGCTCCAGTCTCTATCTCCCTTGAGCTCCTCCTGGCTCTTTGTCCAGAGCAGGGGAGAGATGTCATCTGAGCAACACACAGGAGGGGGAAAAAGTGACAACAGTTTTGTGGACATTAGGACAATTGAGGAATAACCAAAGCATCACTGGCCAAACTTGCAAACTTGCTGCTCCCAGGAACCACCAGGCTGATTTCAGAAGAAATGCCAGAGGATTCTCTATGCCATAAATTATAAGGGTTTAAGGAATATCAGTTTCATGGGAAGAATTCCCTGCAGCACGGCAGGATGTGGCTGGGGGGAGGGAATACAGGTCACCAGCATCACCTGAAAACCCTGCAACAGCAGGAACATGGGAAGGGCTGCCACGTCCCACAGCCTGCCCTTCAAGCCTTGCCCAGGGTCAAACTGCAGCTCATGGGAAGGAGCCGGGGCTCTCCTGGAGCCGGTGACATGACATCTGGGGTCTGTCTGAGGCGGGGGCAGCCCCTCCCTTTGCAGCCAGAGCTGATCCCTGCGCACGGCGCGTGTTGTTTGCAGGATGCTCCATCCTCTGCATCCCCGGGGTAACCCAGAAGGTCGCCCCAGAGCTCAGCCCGGGGTGTGGGGCTGCGAAGCCACCAGGGAGGAGCAGAAACGCAGCCCAGGGAGGGATGCTGCATCCTGCAGAGCCGGTGTTGGGAAGCGCGGAGCTGGCGAGTGCGGGACCCGAGCGCCTCGCCGTGGGGAGAAACGCTCCGGCCCCGCTCCCAGCCGCTGCCCGCAGCCACCCGCACGGGAAAGGGCATTTCCCGCAGCCACCCGCACGGGAAAGGGCATTTCCCACAGCCACCCGCACGGGAAAGGGCATTTCCCGCAGCCCCGGCAGCCCCGGGTCGGATCCACCCGCTCCATGGCAGGAGGAGCTGCAGGGTCGCTGCTTTTCTCCTCCAGATCCTCCCTGAGCTGTTTGCTCTTGATCCCGTCTCGCTGCCCCCGGCCCCCCAGGGCTGTCTGTGCCTGGCTCTCTCCTGCTTGCCCTAGGCCTGGTGTCACAGGCATTTTAGCTTGTTTACCTTGGATAAACTCATCCCATGGTTACCAAGCAGGCAGCGGGAGCAGGGGCTGCACACAGGGAGCTGTGATTGAGGCCAAAACGGTGGGAAAACATCCCTGTGGAAAAGTCCCTGAAAATTAGGCACTTTCTGTACATGCTTGGGTATCTTATGGCAGCAACTCTTCCTTTCCTCAGAAGACCCATGTGCCTTGGAGCAATGACTGCATTTCCAACTCAGTCCCCAGCTCTGCCAGGTCCCTCAGGGGGTGCTGGAAAGCATCCCTGCTGGAGCATGGAGGGAAACCCAGATGATGGAACCCAGTATCCAAGCATGATTCATCACAACTTCTGCTACAAGGCAAGTGCACCATGAATTTGGGAATCCTGACACCCAGGCACACACTTGCTGGGGAGACCCAGACATGAGCATCCCTGCTGGATCTACCTACCAACACACGGGGTGGCACAGTTGGCATCTGCCCTCAAATTCCCATGTCCTGTCCCGCTCCTTCCTGGAGCATCCTGCAGCAGCTGCTTCTCTCCCAGCTTGGCTACACAAGGTTTTGTGCCCCAAAAGAACCTCTCACTTTCTGGAAATCAGTTGGGGATTTGTCATGGAGTCGAGCAGGAGCTACTCACAGAGATTTTGGTGAAGATGGAGAGGAGGAGCGACAGGCTGGAGAGGTACATCCTGATCCTCTCCCCTCCAAACCTTCGCTGGAGGTACTCGGGCATCGTGACAATCTGCCAGGAGGAGAGTGACTTATGAGGAGAGGCTGAGGGAGCTGGGTCCTCTTTAGCTTGGAGAAAAGGAGACTGAGGGGTGACCTCATTAATATTTACAAATATGTAAGGAGTGAGTGTCAGGGAGATGGAGTTAGGCTTTTCTCAGTGATGACCAGTGATAGGACAAGGGGTAATGGGTGCAAATTGGAGCATAGGAGGTTCAAGGTGAATATCCGGAAATTTTTTTTTCCTGTGGGAGTGACAGAGCCCTGGAACAGGCTGCCCAGGGAGGTTGTGGAGTCTCCTTCTCTGGAGACATTCAAAACCCACCTGGATGAGTTCCTGGGTGATGTACTCTGGGTGACCCTGCTCTGGCAGGGGGTTTGGACTAGATGATCTTTCGAGGTCCCTTCCAACCCCTGGGATTCTATGATTCTATGACTGATGGCTGCCCTGTCCAGGCCCCCTCCTCAGGGATTGTCCCAAGGAAGATAAGGGGACAGCTGTATTCCCAGAGCAGGGCTTAGAAACTTCAAAGGACGGGGGTGATAGCCCTCTGGGGAGCAGGGAACCTGGCTGAGGCCACCTGCCCGCAGGGCAGCTCTACATACCCCAGATGAGATGTAGACTGGCACGAACACCCAGGCCAGTGCCAGGAGAGCATAGGTCGCCTGTGGGAAGGAGGAACATGACACAGATAGAAAAAAACATCAATCCTGCAGCAGCTGGACACTGACCCTGCAGTGCCAGACCCCATCCACCAGACCTGGCCCAGCCCCAACTCACCCTCAAATGCACATTTTCATTCCCAAATAGCTTCAGACAGCAGGCACGGGGACACGAGGCAGTGGTGGAGACCCCCCTGGCATCTCCCCCAGCAGGAGCCCACTCCCCTCAGCCCTACAGCTCCTGACCCAATGTTTCCCACTAACTCCTTGAGCACCAAACAAGCCAAACGCCCTATTTTTGCTGCAGAACTCAAGCACTTTGGAAGTGATAAGTGGGGAATCAGGGACTGCGTGACCGATCCAGCTGGACTCGGAAGCTCTGCACTGAAATGTCCTTTTCCCTGAGCACACGGGCTCGAGTCGACCCCAAACTCCCTGTACGTGCACCAGACACGGAGAGGCTGTGTTAATTACCCCCCGCACGACTCCTCCCAAGCCTTTCGAGATGCAGCCGCCGTGCAAGGCGCCCTGCGCTGCGACGCAGCCCCAGACACCTCATTTTCCTAAGAACGCGACCCGTTCCTTACGTTCCACTCGAAGCCGGTGACAGCGATCCCGCCGGCAGCTCCGCTCCCGGCCAGCCCCATGAAGAGCCCCGAGCCCTCGCTGCTGGCAAAGAGCGAGGCGCCGATCTGGGGAGGAGCAGGGGAGGTGCTGGGGGTGCTGCGGGCAGGGTGCCCTGGCAGGGGGGTGCCCCCCCCCCCGCTCCCCGCAGCTGGGCACAGCCCTCCTGCTTCCCCAGCATCGCAGCCCCGAAGGGATAACTCAGCGAGAGGAGGAGGAGGGGGGAAAAAACGGCATCAGAACAGGAGCAGCAGAGAACAGACCTCCCCTGAAAGCAGAGACCCACCAGGCGTGTTGAGGGATGTGTATGGATTGTTGTAAGAAAAAAGCCTTAACAGACTTCAAGCCAGGTAGCCAGGAGCCTCAGCAACCACAGCTCCTGCACACCCAGCTCATCGGGCACCCCCAGTGGGTTTTGGATGGACTTCCCTGCATTTGCCATGGTGGCCATGCACCCTGCCTGGAGGTGGCCCTGAGCAAGCAGGTAGTGCCAGACACAGGAAGGACCTACATCCAGTTTGTCAAGATCATACTGAAATAAGCAGAGGGAACAAAGAAACTTAGGATCCCTGTGTCTTGTTGGAGTCACCTGGGCCAGTGGAGACAGTTTGACTCCAAGGACCCTTCTCGACAAGAAGAGGAACCTATGAGGAGAATCAACAAGCCACGTGGGCTCTAGTGCCCTGTGTGTAATGGGAAGGGAAAGGCAGCTCAAAGGACATGGATCCTGGCAGGAGGAGGTGCACAGGGTGGGGGAAGGTGAGAAAGCAGGGGCACAGGCAAAGGAATTTGGTGAGAGAGGGAATGGTGCTGGATGTCCCTGCAGGTGTCACAAGAGGGACAGAGGGCTCTACTTACTGGCCACCATGCCATGTCTCTGCCAGCAAGGAAGTAGCCACTGACCGTGTTCCTGTTCACCCTGCATGAGGACTGGGAGGAGAAAAGATCAGCACGGAGAACCCTTCCCTACAAACCCAGACAAGACACCAAGAAACCAAGAAACAAGTCGCCCAGACAAGAAGCCAAGAGACAGAAGACTCTAGATAATTAATGGGAGATCTCTGCAACTCAAGCTTAATTACATGAAACCGTGGCTGCACCCCAAGTACCTGGAGCCATGAATAGCAAAGGAAACACCCCAAGAGGGGGAAACACAGAGGATGTACCCATTCTACCTCCATCCCACGCAGACAGGTTGGCTAATAGGGCCCAGCTTTGGCTAGAATTTTTCTGCAAGGCAGAATAAATGGGCTGTGGAGAAGAGCTGCAGGTAGCCGAGGGCTTTTTCTGTTGAGCAGGGCATTTGTCTCAACACCCTTTAATAGAAAAGCAGGAGATTTGCTTAAACCCAGCAGATGGGAGACCAGGGGAGAGGTTTGTGGTTAATTCTACCTTGTTGTCAGGGTCTTGGATTCACTCTGGAGGGGGTGAGAGGGGTGGAGGGTTCGTACAACAGACCAGCACAGGTGCAGCACAACACAAAAAAATACATAACAAGTGCAAACTACAACAGGATAATAATAGAGGCTCTCAAAATATTATGTACATAATAGACAGTCCTGAAAAAAAGAACAAAGACTATTCCAAAAAGAAAGCAGAGAGGGAAGAAGAGGAAATGCTCTTACCCAGATTCCCACTGCAACGTTTAAGGAAAAATAAACCACTATGACAACAAGGTCAGCAACGCTGAACTGCTGCAAGGGGCTGAAGGACCCAGCAGTGGAGTTGCCCTCCATCATTCTTCTGCCTTCTCCTCCATCCTCAGCCTCACACAGACACTCACTGAATTAGTAACTCGTTAGCAGCTTGAGGGCATTTATCATTAATCAAGCCAGCAGCAGGAGCTCTGCTTCCAAAGGCGTTTGGGGGCAGCCTGGCTGCCTCCCACCCTTTCCTGTGTCCGCACTGCCCTGAGGGACACGGGGTCCAGGCAAGCACCTCGATTTGTGTCTCACAAACAAGCAGCTACTGAACCCCCATTTCCTTGGAGTTTCTGCTTCTGCAGTGATCTTGAAGCAGCAGCAGCCCTGCTGGACTAGAAACTATCAGGGTTTTCGTCTTCTAGAAGCTGTAAACCAAACCCAAGTACTCTTCTTGCAGATACTGTCTGGAAAGAATTTACATGATCTTCTGCCTAGTTAATTACTGTAGAAATTGCTGAAGAAAGCAGTTTTAAGTGTTCTTTACATTTGAGGGATCCCAGAGAAGTACCTCAAAGAATATCCGGCGTTTCTGGTGATCTGATGGTTTTGCTTCTGGGAAAAGCACATAGAGATGAGGCAGCTCTGATGTAATAAAAGGGGTATGGAAAATGCCCAAGTGAAGTCACACAGGTTTTGCTCCCTTTCAACATCCCCGGTACTATGAAAAGCCAAAGGACCAGTAATCGTGTCTTAGAACCACAGCTCCTCCCAAATTCTTGAGTCCTAATCTATCTAGTAACTGCATGGCACAAAACTAGGCAACGTTAGGGGTTTTCTACAAGCTAAAGCAACAATCAAACACTGGAGTGACGTGAACATCCAAGGTGGAGCCTCAGCACTTCAGCAAGGGCTGACCAGCAGAAGACTCATGGAATGGATGAAGCTATTTCTCCAAAGGCCAACATGAAACAACCTTTGATTTTAATGGGCTTGGGGACTCACAGTAATCACACTGTTTGCTGCAGTGGCTCATTTTCAAGGGGCAGCAGCTCTCCAACTACGCATCACAAGGTCTCACTAATGAAACAAACACACTGCAACTACCATGCCCTCAGCACAACAGCCCAGCATGTTCCTCTTCTCTGAAGTAGCTGCCCACACAACCAGGAGCAGCTCTGCACCCTGGTGAGAGGAACCAAAGTTCTCCCTCACTGCCCAGCTGGAATTCAACCCACATTAGCACATTCAAAGCACACAGAAGTGTTAATACCTCAGCTTGGTGTATCTATTAACATCCCTGAACTGTTTAATAACCCACTGCCATTAATATACAACCCAGGACAGCCAGGCACTTGGTCACTGCACAGAGCACACCTCTCCAGGCAGGGCTGCAGAAATCAAACAGGACAGTCTGACAAGGATGAAGAACAGTATTATCTGAACAGAAACGTGCAGTTGCTTCAATAAAATCACCATCTCACTTGCTGAACATACCAACAAGATCAAATATTGTAGATCGACAGAGAAGGGAAGGAAAAAAACCCTGGTTTTACCTTTAAAAGTAAATAAACCTTCCAAGGCCTTCGGATTTCACCTCAAGCAGAGAGAAATGGTGTCTACAAAGGTTAACTTTCACTTCTGGTTTTGACCATGCCAAAAGTTTTATACTAATTTGCAGGACATCCTGATGGAGAGAGATGTGACCAAACAATGCCTAAATGCTCATCAACTCCAGCACCATTTTCTGTGCAACAGGGCAACTTCAGTTTTCCAAGACTGGAAGCTCACAGCTGATCACTGCACCCACGGGTACGTGAGGATGGCTGGGAAAACCAACCTGAACAAGCTCTGCACTATGGCCATATTTTTTAGCACATCCATATGTTCAGGCCAGGCTACCAACCTCTGAAGAAAACCCAAAACCACTTACCTGCAATGAGCTGAACTGGATTTTACCAGCTGGAACCTCTGCCTCCCTCAATATTCCCAAATCCCTGTTGTTCCTTGACTTCCAGCCATAGATTTAGCTCCCTCCCACACTCCCCAAAGCAAAGCAGCACACTGGGAACACGCTGGAAGTGCCAAATTACATCCAATCTCAACAGATTTGTGACAGCACCTGCAGCTGGATGGTGAAAGGTTCTATTTTGTGTTCCATGAGTCTGCTCAGCAGAAGCCAGGTTGGAAAATGACAATGAGGACCAGCATTAGGGAAAAGCAGCCTCTCCCCCTCCTCTGCAGGTGTTTCACCAAGCAAAATGCACATTATTCTTGCCACCAAGAAGCCTGAATCCTGTTCCTATTCCAAAGTTACACATTTGCATAAAAGAACCAAACCCCCTTTCAGTCTCCTCCAGTAACACAGTATCTGCAAATCACTTGAGGGGGACTCACTTTAGAAGACAAGGGACTAGGACATGATCATTTTTAGAAAGCTCACACAAAACAAGTCTTTATTCTTCGTTGCAGAAAATAAATACAGGTGCATATTTCATATGCTTTTCTATAAAAGCAATCCTACAAAACCACTGAACTGCATACAACAGTACAACCTTTTTGGCTTTTAAAATGCAAATATTATACAGTCTCTTCATTTTATTCATTTTTAAGCACTTGTAGCAAGCAGCTTTGGAGAAGGAATGCTTAATTTAGAAGCCAAATTCTTGCCTCAAGTGTTTTGTGGGTTTTTTCCATCATGTATGTAGTGCAACTAACCTAAAAGCAACTAGAACAGGTTTGTCGTTTTTTTTTTAATGTTTATTCCCCACCCACCCCCCCAAAAAAAAACCCTGAAAAAAAAAAATGGTCTTAAAAACTGTTCTACTTTGATACTTAAACCAAGAGAAACAAAAAGTGGCTCAATAAAAATGTTAAGGTTAAGCATGATGCTTCACAGCTCATTATCTGTTTGCTTCCAGTTTGGCCAGGGGTGTTTCCTTAGATTAAAAAGCATTAATCATCCAGTCCTATATTCCTGAAAAGGTATGACATGGACTCCCCGTTATGGATCCTGCGAATGGCTTCCGAGAGGATCATGCTGATATCCACAGTCTTGATTTTGGGGCACTGGAGTTTTTGTATTTCATGTGGAATTGTGTTTGTAACAACCACCTAGAGAAGGGAAAAAATGATCAGAAAGACGCAGCTCTTATGTTCTCCACCTCCCCTGTCAGAACTGCAAGAGGGAATGTCCGTGTATCCATGGATACTAATGGCACTGTCCTTCCTCTCTTTCTTTCTGCCACACAGGCCCAAAGGAAGGCACAGAAATATTCCACTGAGGGGAGAGTCTGCTGACACTGGCAGTTGGTCACCTCACAGTTTCCTACTGGTACAGTTTAAGGATGCATAGATGTCCAGCACACAAATCCATGCTAAGGAAGCCTGAGCCTAGAAACCTCCTGGCTAAATTCTTACTGCCAGTATATTTTAACAATCAAGTCAGGAGAAAATTTCTTGCTTACAAAACCCAAACTCATCTGACCAGAAATTCAGAATCCATGCTTACTTCATCAATGGCAGATTCCTCTATCAGCCTGGGAGCATCTGAAGACAACAGGCCATGTGTGGCCATCACAAAGATCTTGTAGGCCCCCCTCTCCTTCAGAGTCTCAGCTGCAGCAAGAAAGCTGTCAACATCATCTATAATGTCATCCTGTGGAGGTAAGATGGGAGTCAGGGAGGGTTCACCATGCCCTCAGAGATAACAAAGCACACCCACACAGACATCACAACTTTTCCAAGTATGACAGTTTAAAGCCAATCCAGAATGAGGTTTATACTGAAGCTGTTTTTCAGACATCTGAGCTAGATGCTAAGTGCAGAAGAGCAGAGTTCAAAACTACTGCAGCACCAAGGGGCAGAGGGAATGCTCCGTGAGGGGAAGAGGGAAAAGCCAAGGCAACGGACATTGATTCAGAATCCACACTAACAGAAAACTGCCCTTTTCCATGACAAGCCCAGAGATCACACTCTGCTTCAGAGAAACCACCAGACTGCATCATCTTTACTTCCCTGGCATTTCTGAACTCCCAGAACAGAAACATGCTGGTTTCCCCTCATCTCATGTATCAGCACCACTGTCCAGAGGAGTTTCATAAGCACTTCAACAGAAATTGATCTGGTCTATCCATGGAAACAAAGTCCAAGTGCTGCTTTGCAGCATGGATCACTTCACAGTTCACACAGTCAGCTTCAGTGAGAGCTCAGAATACTGCCTCATGGTATCAAAAGTGGTATAAAAAGTGCATTATTGAGAGCCCACCATCAACCAAACTGTAGTTGCTGACACAGCAGAAAATCAACTTGATTTATGCAACTTCAGCATATTTAATTATAATTTATCAGAAGCTACAGCATCTTACTTACCACGATAATAGCTATTCTTCCTCCTACATCTCCCACAACTGTGATGGGTGGTTTTTCCTTGGGAATCAGCACTGATTAATGGCAGGTTTTTTTAGAGTAGAAAGGAGAAAGAAAGAAAAAGAAAATTTATATAATTTACTTCAAGTGTAGAAGGGTCTGCTTTGCATGGGTTGCTACTTACAGAGAAGAAAAGCAAGAACTGTTTCAACCATCACAGTATTATTGGGAAAAACATTCTTGGGAAATTTTCATACATAAGTGATTGTTTTAAGCTTAATCGAAGTATTAACTACATCAATTTACACTCAAATTCTTAAGCAATTCAGTTAATTCTTAAATTTTAGTATAGAGAATAGAGTGGCTTGCAAACAAAACCATTTCCATCACCCAACTGAGATCCAAGCTATGTTTATGGAATTAAGTTTTGCTCGTGCAGCTACAGCTCACACCTACATTCAGCAAGGTTGCTCTGTCAAGGCCAGGGATGTTAACACAGCTCCTCTCAAACCCAGTTTCAGCTCAGGTTATTAGTTCCAAGTGCCAGAAAAATTCCAACAAAAAAGTAATTTACAAGTGGGGCCTCTCTGCCAAGGGCTCTTGTGACTAGCTGTAATGACACAGGCCCTTCTGCACAGGGCAGAGACCTCACATACAGCCCAGCACTAAAACCACAGACAAAGAGCAACAAAAAGGAACTTCCCCCCCCACTAAGAAAAAAGGAATTATCTTTCCCCAGAAGACCTTTTCTGATAGTCCCTCACTGCCAGACTCATCTCCCCAACCCACAAAAAAGGACAGGTGAACACTGACACACAGACTTACTTACTGGGTATCTCCAAACTGGGATGAATGGCAGCAACATTTTTGGCTGTGGGTGGTGAGTGCCGACCATCCACCATGTCAGACTCAGCATCTTGAGCTTCCCCGTGGATCACAGCGATTCCCAACCGCAAGCGCTCGGCGAATGACTGTGCCCTGGAGGGAAAGGGTCACAACAAAAGATGCATGTTACATTTCACATCATTCACATACATACAGTCCTAGTCTATTTCCATTTTATTTCTAGCCTTTCAGAGGAAAAATTGAATTATCCTAACATTTTAGGAAAGTGTGAAGGAAATCACTTGTCCCTTAGCATCTTGTTTTCACCAGGCTTATGAGAGTCATAATAACCCTCAAAGTGCCCACATGGGCCTTGAAGCAGCAGGATAAATCCTGCAAGTCAGATAATTCTGATCACTCCCTTCTGTTTAGCCAAACTGTCAAAACACATCCCATACTTTAGCAGGTCTGATCCAACACTGAGAATAGCTTAGATGTCTGGACTGTCCACACTTAATAGGGAAAAAAAAAATTAACATGAAAACTGAAAACAAGTGTTCACCTGCTTTTTTTTTTAGCAAGATGTGCACTAAATAAAGGCAATATCCCTGACTTCCTGACACAGAACTTCAGATATCCTACAGAAAAGAGAATACAGACAATCATTTTTCCTGGCAAACCACTCTTCAAATTTTAACAGCCTGGATTTTTACCAGATTACAAAGTTCCTTCACTGTGCAGTATTTCTTCAACTCAAATGAGATACTGATGTGAAGAAGTGTAAGGTTAGCTGGGGAATGGGGAAAGCAGAGAGTCAGGATAACAGGAATTTCACAGACAGTGCTTATATCCCAGATGCTGGAAGCAAGTAAAAATTAATGGATTCCTCCTACCTTACCTTGCACACTCAAGATCTCGGGATCTGGCCCGAGTCAGTGATCTAATCTCCCCCTGGTTAAAGGGAGCCTGGCATGTCCACAATGAGTCACTCTGTTCTAACATTAGCATCTAAGACCTGTGGCCTGAATCACTTCCTTTACACTTAAGCCTTGTTTCACTACCCAGACAACTCGAAGTCCAGCAAATATTTGCCCATCGTGATGTTCAGTTAATTAAAAATGAAGAATCTTCTGCCCTGTGGTTATCATACTGCTTTTCAAGATAAATTAAATTACAATTTCAAACATTAAGAATTATGACTTAGAAGGCATAATCCTATCAACAAAACCATAATTGCTTCAAAATGCAATATTAAACTGAGTGAAGTTCAAAGTAACAGTACAATGATGTATTCATTTCCCAGTGAGCTCAGAAACCACAGAAACATTCTAAGCTTCAACAAGTAAAGGTTCTCTTGCACCAGTAGACAGTCATCTGAAAAGAGTTTTCCATTATTAGGCCAATACATTAAATCACCCTCTTCCAACGTTCCACCTTAAATCCTGCTCTTAAATGCTCACATGTACACATGAAGCTAAACAATACAGCTCTGGGATCCTCGCCTACACAAAGCAGGTACATGTGCAACTTATCTGTTTGATCAGGTGAAGGTATGTGCAGACTGTTTTCTGGCATGCACAATTAACTTAATGAGCACGAAACTGGTTCAACAAACGTCTGCCTGCTCTTAAGAGGCAATACTGACAGCAAGCAAAAGAAATAAATGGTTAAAGACAAATGTAACCTCACTGGTCAAAAAAAAAGAAATCACAAAAATTACTGCTAGAAAATGAAGATGACAGAAGTTGTTCCCCTCACCATATTTCTACAAATTGAAGCATTTTGGATTTGCTACGTAAAATATCAAAACCTTTCTTACAAGAGTATTGTGATTTCTTGGCATGAAAATCTGGGTAAACTCAAAAACTATTTGCTTGTCACCACAGAAAATACATTATCTTTTAAACCATCATTCAACAGAACAGATCACCTGCTGAGAGCAGTGTAATTCCCAAAGAGTTTAGGAACAGTCAAACAAAAAGCTTCACAGATTAAGAACAGTCATTCAGCCAACAGGGACTTCACAATCAAAATGATCTCAAACACCAAATCCTGTTTCACCACACTACAGGGTAAGCCAGCTGTATGTAGGGTCTGATCAACCATGTTCCAAGACAGGACCATGTTAAGGAATTACTCTGGATTAATGGCATTCTACTTCCAGCCATTTTTCTTTATTTACAGTAGAAAATTTATAATGTAAAAGCACACAAATATAATATGATTCAACACCATATTTATCCTAAACACTGTATTGATTTTCCTCATCCTTTAATTTGTTTGGTATTTTTACTCTTAGATTTATATTGCTTATGATGTAAAAACTACACATCTGACACAGTCAAATTGGGAGGGATTTGAAGGCTGCATCTTCTGATTATTGGAAACGTGTCCTTCGTTTGATCCTAAGAACAAAATCATGATAGAGATTTCCTGCTCTAACACAAGAGAGCAGATCTTACCCACCTCTTTGCAGACGCAGGTGATTTGGCCACAATTACAGCATTCCTGTAGTCTGGTATCTGTAGTAAATAACAGATAGCAATGTCTACTTCATATCTTCAGACAAATTTAAGCTCAGTAAGAATCAGAGAAGTTTATTTTGCCAGAAGAATGTTAACCATCTATCGTTAGACCTAAGAAAGCAACCTCAGGAATCCACGGTACATGATCAGGGTTCACAGCTCAGTAAAAACAGGTATTTAGAAAACTAAGATATTAAGTTAGAACTGTACCTTTCATAAGCACCATGTTACATTATAGATTACACAAAAGTAACTGCTTTTGAAGAACATCAGTGTCAAACAAAGTGTTAAACAAAACAGGAAACCATCAAAGTTAAAATTTCCTGTTCAAGTCGTCTTCTATGTGCACACACAGTCTTTAACCACTTGAAAACATAGCATTTCATCTATTTCCTATTGTTTTCCAAAGTACACAAGGAAAGTACTGCCTCTCCATCACTCCACATCATACTGACTCTTTATATGAATCAAAAGGGATTAAAATTCCCCATTCACTGCACTGATCCTGGAGTCACAGTCATAACAGTGCTGCAAAACATCTACACAGATCAGCACTAGAGAATGCACAAAGGGGTAAGGCCAAGAAGCTGGGTTTATTTTGACATCCCACAGCTACAGCAGTCAGTTCTCACTGCAGTCTGCTCTAAAGTTTGCTGCCCTGCCCCATTCTCATATTGGCTTTTCATCCCAAACTCCCTCTGTCCATTTAGCCAGAGTTCAAGTCCTCATGTCTCAAAGTTTCTTGTCCTAGTCTCCATTTTTCCTGCAAACAGTGACTCCACGTCAGACTTGTCTTTCTTTGTCCATAACTTCTCCAGTTTTCCAGCACCCACACTGCCAGTCCTCCTTCTCAACAGCAATCTCTTCTCCCTCTGATGTCTCCTCTTAACCCCTTCCTCACTATCTCAGCATCTTTCTTCATGGTGCTGCCCTGGCATGACCTGTCTGCCATGGAGAGGAGCACAGAGAACCTGTCTGTCCTTCCATCACTGCCATAATAACAGTCCACAGCCCCTCTCAGCTGCAATAGCAGGCAAAGTCCCACAGAGCAGATCCCAGTGTGAAGGGATGAAAGACTTCACTAAATGCCAAACTGATTCAGTACAGTTGTCATTTCATAAATTTGGAGGGATGCTATCCTGACATGCAGTTCTTTGCCTTGCTGTCAGATGTTCAATACCAGTTCCAAAGCACAGAAATACTTGGGTTTTTTTTCAAACATAAGCCAGGTAAGCTCTTCCATCATCTTATCCTCAAGCATACAAACCACAATGGCTGAATATTTCCAAAACTACTCTGCCTGAATTAAGCATCAAGGCAAAATTAAGTTCTGAGTTTGGCCATGGGCTGAACCAACTGAAAACAAGAGTTTTGCTGAGGACATGTCAGGCAGCATTAACAATCTGAGCTGCTACTAACTCCACCTATAATACTGGGAATTCAGCATGTTCTGTCCTTTACAAACACTTAGTTATACAACAGGCTACAGAGATTAACATGATGGAAGGTATGGACAAGGCAGGGCCTGTCACTTGACATAATACAGGCTTTGATCTTGTTCAGACATCATCGCCTCATTTTTCCCCTGCCAAATTATCAAATTTGTTCTCAGCTCTTTAAAAATGAAGTCAGAAAGGCAGAAATGTCATCCAAGAGATAGGAGGCCAACAGGAACTCCTTGTAACAAAGAGCTACGTCACCCTACAATTAACATGTAGACATAGGAAAGAGAAGGTAATACTGAACTTTGCTAAGCATACAAAGGAAAAATCACATTATTTTTATACCTCAATAATTACCCTGATTGGACTGTCTTCATCCCAGAACATCAAGAAATTCTCTTCACACCTATGCATAAGTATCCAACACAGAACTACTACAAGCCCCCATGTTCTTAACTTGGTTTAATTTTTAAACTCCTCTCTTACCAAGCTGGACTTGATTTCATGCTCCTCAATACACCACATCACAACTCCCATTTGAAACATTTCTCCTACTTTGGCATTCCCCATGCTGGATATACAGAGAACTGCTGCCACCAGGAACTTGAGATGAACACTAAATTCTTCCTGAGCAGCTCTGGGTGGAACTTTTAAGAAAAGGTACTATAAATGGCATGGCTGGTGAAAGTACTTGCCAATATAGATCCTATGTGATAGATCCATTAAGTCAGCTTTAGTTTTAAGCAAGTCATCTCATGGACAAGCAGAGGAATAAAGAATTAAAAACTGAAAGCATCTTGTAAGACCTCTCCACATATACTTATGCAGATCTCTATGCATGTTCATTTATTACAACTGCAAAACAGTGCCAGACTCAAAGCTGCAATAATTCTTTGTAAATCAAAATGTGCTTCAAGACTAAACCAGGAACAGTATCTTGTTATCGACCATAATCCATATGGACAAGCAACATATAAAGGCACAGCTTGTCTTATATCTGCATATTTGGTTTCCCACTTTTTTTTTCCCTTATGTGCAATACTTCTCTTCTGGTATGAAAGTTGTGGCAAATCCAGAGCTTGGAGTTCTGTGCCATCATCCTCTTTGACATTAGTATCAAATTAAATTATAACAACAGATTCAAATGGTAACTGATTCCCAAACAGATTTTGACACTGTCATAAAAAAATCACGTTGGGTTGGTTTGGGGTTTGCTTTTTTTCTTTTTAATTAAGGCATTCATACCTCTATGAAAAGAAATAGCTTGGATTTAAAAGTAAGAGTGAGCTAGTATTTCACATCATCATTAGTCAGAGGCACAAGATGCATCTTCACCTACAATTACCATTTGCACAATTTGCATAAATGAATCTACCAGTAGCACTTCTCAAAGCCCTTATAAAAAAAAAGGATGGAGACATGGATGCATGGAACATCAGAAGTTAAGCTCCTCAAGTCAAGACATGCTGATCAAAAAGCAGAATGTGATCAACAGGATCTCTCATCATTTACAGCTTCATTTCCAAAGTGTTTTCATAATTCAAAATAAATTATACCTACAAACAAGCAGTCCACCCCATAAATACAAATTAAATTGGAAGTGAGAAAGGAAGGGGATTTCTAATGTAAGAAAATCCTCATTTAAAAAAACAAACAAACAACAACATAATTAGGGGAATATCTGTAAGAAGACAGAACAGCATCACCGAAGAGATAAGAAAATGCCAGATCTTCATGAAAGGAAAATTTAAGCCTGTAGGGAAAAAAAGCCCCAACCCCACTCCTTGCCCCAATATGACCTTCCTCCTTTAAAATTCCACTTGAAGAGTAAAGCCTTTTCACAGGGATTTTTTTTCAGAAACCTTGAGAAATAACAAAAAAGTAATTGAAAAAAACCCCAACTGTAATAGCAAGTCTCCCTCACCTCTTCTTGGATGTACTGTAGTAAAAATGGAGATGCTCTCAAGTTATCAACTGGAATGTTGAAGAAGCCCTGTATTTCCTTCTGATGTAAATCCATGGTAATAAGATGAGTTAGTCCTTTAAAAAAAAAACCAACATAAAAAAAGACAGAGAAGCACATCAAGAAAAGTAAGAGAGAACAAAAGGCATACTCTTTATTTCTCTATTAAGTTTAACTGAAGTTTGTCCAGCACAAGATCTCTAAGCTGCAGTAGAACAAGATGCTACATTTACTGAAAGTACAGAGCATATTAACTATGTCCCTCTTAAATGCCCTAGTATTATCATGTTCTGAGATTCCTACAGTGTTCTTTTAGAAAGAACCTCGGAATACTCAACATAACTGACTCAGTAGTGCCACACTGAGGCAGGTAAGATCTTTCTCTGTTGGACATGTGACAAAATGGAAGCACTAATAACAAATTGTTCTATGGCACATGGCAAGACCCTGGCACAGCCAACATTAAACTGCTGAGAAACAGGCCCAAATTCTAATAATCAAAGTACTTCTCTAAAACAAGAAACCAGATCACGCTGTGTTCATTAGAACTGCCCATTTTTCCCAGGAACAGGAGCAAAAGGAAAGGAGCAGAAAACAAAATGTGTTGAAGGCTGTGAAAATTCTCATTCTCCCACATGCTCTCAAATGCAAAGGACAGAGACAAAATGCATTCATCAACAGGTAAAAAACAGGCTGGAAATGACAAAGCACAACTGCTGGAGAGTGTCAGACAGGCAAAGAACAGCATTACAAGGGGGCAGGGCACCAGGGCCCAAAGAGCGGAGTCCAGCTGAGTCATTTTGCCAGCTCAGTAGGACACAACATAAAATGGCTATTACAAGTTTGCTTATTTTATTAACTCATCATTTGGAAGCATTTCTAATTACATTTTCCTTTCTACATGGATTTTAAACTCATTAAAAACTTGGCAGTTATTTTTAGAGTCCCAACTTGTGCACATACCTCTCTACACCTGAAAGCAGACAGCAGGAGCCCCCACTGCCCTGATTATTTCATAGCAACCTGCATTCTTACCAGCTTTACACATCATTGAAGCCAGTAATTTAGAGACAATGGAGCCCCTTTTCCTCATCTTGCACTGTTTGCTGTAGGGGAAGTAAGGAATCACTCCAATAATGCTTTTGGCACAGGAGGTTTTACAGGCGTATACCATGATCAGCAGCTCCATGATGGTGGTATTCACATCCCTGGAATGAGAAGGATCTAGTTCTGTACCTTGAGCATAAAAATCTTGTATTCAACACAATATCTGTGTCCACTCCAGGGTAGCACAGAGTTATGGTGACTGAGGGATCTTCACTAAGACTCCAGCCGTGCCCCTCAGAACAGCAAGTGCTCTCAACCCAGTATTTTAATCCTTCCCTACAATTATGCTTCATTACTTCTCTCACTTGGCTTTTTTTGGCAATTCAGTGGGTTTTGTTACACCATTTTCAGGCTGTAATGCAGCTTGCTTCTGTAACAAAGCAGCCCATAATTTATCTCCAACATCTATTTCTATTATTCACAAAAAACAGATGTATTTTTCAATACAGATAGCTTTAAAAAAAAAGTTTCAGACTTTACAACATATTCTACTGATCAAACTCATAACAGGTTAAATATTCAACAATTACGATCTATTTTCTGCCCTAAATTAAAAGATTGAGAAGTTGGGTTTTTTAGATAAGAACTGATCGTAGACTGAGACCTTGTATTTCTGTAGCCATTAGAAAAAAAACAATTTAGCCCTTATAAAATTCTTCCCACATCAAAAAAACAAGACTGTTTTCTGAATGACAGGACATATTGCCTAGGAAAAGCTCTTCCAACACCTAAAATTTTGCAATAGTGGAGATGGGGTAGCTGAAAATGGAAGAATTTAAAGAGAATGACATAAGCAAAAGAATGCACTTAGCAAAAGAGCAGAAAAGGTTATTGACATAGTAACTTAAAATAACAGAGGTTAGCTTATACTGAAATAATCTTTGTGCACATATGGAAAAAAATAAACCCAAAACAAAAACAAAAAACACAAAGAGAAGCCTCTATTTAGTTAATTTAAGGTAATTAGGCTGTATCAGATACATAAAACGTGCAATAGAATTAGAACAGAAGCATCACCATGGACAGTCAATGCCAAAATACCAGCTCAGTCTCTTTAAAGTTACTCACTTTGAAACTGTTTGGATGATAAATACATCCTTTCCTCTCACAGACTCCTGGATCTGCACTCTTGTTTCTGCCAAGAAGAGGGAGATGTCAGATTTCCAATAGCAAAGCTCAGTCTCTAAGAAAAGGGAAGTCAACATATGACATCACAGTGAGGTAAGCTTCCAGTTTTGCCAATTAAATGCTCACCTCTGTTGGGTTCCTGATATACCTGAACCTTCCCCATTTCAACTCCTAAGCGCCTGCAGGAGCAGAAAAAACAAGTCAGGATGGGAAAACAAAGGGCAAAACAAAGGCAAAGCCCATACAATGCAACAGTTACTGAAAACCTGTGTGTGTATATATATATATGTGTTTATGTATATGTATAAATAGTTACTGTAAGAAAAGGAAACTCCAAATCATAAGCCCAGTAATTACAGTGGAAATCTCTTAACAAAGCATTTCTAGAAGCTGCACTGCAGGCCAAGCTGAACTGATCTTCAAGTCAAAGTCAGAAGAATAAGCAACAGATAAGAATAATGCTTGATTAGTAAATTATGTAACTATTTCTAATTTGTAATATATACTCCTATATATGTTACATATATGTTGCCATACATATGTATATACAGGTGGCAACAAACATGCACAATGCTTACAAGACCACTTTTAAGTCCTTCTGCTCTACAGAAAAAACATCACTGTGGAGTTAATCAGAAGTATCTGCCAGCTCTATTTGATGAATAATGGCAGACTGATGTCTGCTCTGCTTATTTTGCTGCAGTATTAGCACAGACCCTCATTGATAAAAACAGGAGACAACCAAATATGCTACACACTTGTGCCCAAAGTACTGGCAATGCATAACCTGAGCTGCATTCTCCTTTTTCCTATCTCTACCAACCTTTGGGGACATCAGGAGGAAATCCATCACGTGCAATACTCCTGGCAATGTTATACATCCTAATACTGCTACAGTAGTATGGTAAAAATTTCCTTCAAGATTCCTTAAAAGTTCTGCTGAAGCTGTTCACATATTTAAAGCTAAACAAAAGTTTCCATCTGAAATGTACAGAGAGCAGGACGGATGCAGCTTTGCCATCTAAGAAAACGGCTACAAGGAGAGCTAGAAAATGATAAGAAGTTCTGCCATGATTATTTAACACTATCCAAACAGTAATTTTCCCATGTGTTCTCTACAACATACTGCAGCCAATCCCAACCTGCCACCGAGCAATTTAAACACAGCTTTTTTTCTTTGTTGTTAACCAGTTGCAATACACTGTGCAAAGTACCAGTTGTTCTTGCAAACCCTGGGAGTTTCCCTGCGTAACTTTCCCTTAACAGAGAAATCAGTCTTCAGTAAAACAAGCCCCACCATAAGAACACCAAGATCCTGGGCTGCCCTGCAGGATTCTACTTACTCAGCAATCCTCTTCGATAGTTCCATGCATGACGAATTGGAATTAGCTGAAAACAGCACCAGTCCACCCTTGGTTATATTCATGATGGCCCCAGTTTCAGTGAATGGCACACAAAACATCAAACCTAAGTTGTATTTCCGCTTCTAGAAGGCTGCAAGAGATCAAAGGTCTGTTAAAGCAATCATGTTACAAACAAAAAAAGAGACAAATTTTCTGATTAAAAAGAGTTTCCTATAAGCCTGTATTATCTGGCATCCTTCATCTTTGTTATCACCACTTTATTAGTGCCAGGAATATATCCCCACAGCATGACCCCCAAGCCATCCAGCTCACTGACCTAGCTCAGAAGACCCAACAAGATGACACAGAGAGGAGCTTCAGCCCACCTTGCTTTCCTTCTCCTGCCCCCAGACTTTACACAATCTCCAGCAGAAGCTTCTCTAGAGGTCTCTGAAGATCCTCCTAGGCTATCTCCTAACTTCAACTTCTGTGGTTTTTGCTTTGGTTTTTTTTGTTAATGTTTTCCTTAGGCTATTATCTAACAACATAGATTCTCTTCTCCATCCCCTTGTCCAGTTTATTTTACAGAAGTGAGCAACATGTATCGACTGCCTCAAGATCACAAAGCCAGTCAGAGGTAGACTTGAACTAAACAGAGCTCCTGCCTCAGTTAAATAGACTAGAAGAGTCTATTTCCATGAATGCATATCTTCCCATCACTTTGCAACAAAGTATAAACTTACAAATAAAGATGAAATGCAAGGAAGAGCTCAATAAAGCTGGTAGCTGTAAATAATGACCTCTTGCACGATGCGTCCACTTGCTGGAGCAGTTGTCATAACGTTTCTCCTGTGAAAATAGGAGCAAAACATCAAGAGGAAATCTACTTTTTTTTTCCAAATAAAGGCACAAACCACTAAACCACTAGTTCTGCCAAGAATTTGATGGGATTCCACTTTCACACTTTTTATTCTTCTCTGTAACATCATCACACTGTCAGGACTTCCTCTAACATAACATTTCGCTCAAATAAAAGAAAAAAAATAAATCCCATTGACCAGCAGCCACCAATAGACCAAAGCAGCATTCAGCTCAAAGTCACAGGCTACTCAACTTCTGCTGTATAAATAGCTCCATTTATTTCACATTATGTAGGGGACTGAAAATATCAAATACAAGTAGCCTAAATCCAAATAAAGTAAGAAAAAGTTAGGATAAAACAAAAATTATTTTCTGGCAAACATCTCCCTGCTGAGAAAGAGAATTATCTAAGAGTTGCATGTAATCTGCTCAAAAAAACCTGAGGCTATACCAACTATTAAGTACTCCAGAATAAGAATCTTAGAGAAAAAAACACTTTTCACACTTAAAGGAACAACTGGCCAGCTCTATAAAGAAACTAATTCAGCCCACCTTTGCAATTAGCCACACTCTTGCTCAGTTTGACTTCATCACAGAAACTGTAAATGATTGACTCTCAATTAAGAGCCAAAGTAGTTAGAACTTCCTAACAAAAGTATCTTCATGAAGCACCTGTGCTTTGTTCAACTGCTGTGGATGAAAACCTGCCTGTCATCAAACTTCCTGACTGCGCAGAACGAGAGCACAGCGACAACTTCCACAACAGGATCCCAACTGCCAATGGGCATCATCCCTCAACTACTAATAAATATATCTTTAATTTAACAAAGCAAACATGGATTAGAAATGCTTTCACCTCTCAGATCACCACCAGGAAGCACCCTGCTTGTGTGATTAGGCGGGAACAATGTAGAGACAACTTTTGATGTCACTAAAAACATTCATATGACATTCTGAGGATACAGGGTTTGTTTTTTTTTCCAATTGTTACCTTCTCTGCTCCATGAATAAGGGAAATTCAGAGATTTAAGAGATCTGCTGAAAGTAAGAGTTGTTGGTTCCTGATTACAGTTCCTGATTTACAGCACAATAAGTTGCTAACATATTTACAAGCAACACTGAACATAGTTCTTCACATAACCCTAGGTCAAGGGCTTTCTCAGGGATGTGTTTCAGCAGCAACACGTGGGCTACAGTGTGTGTAGGGGAAAGGAAGTTGCATTTGTCTATTATTATTAATGAATCAACCTTGAAACAGGTGTTGGGATGACAACAAACTCACAAAACTTTATTAGATGTGTAAGGACATGACACCACAGAGGTACCTGGGCCAACAACCCCTTGGTTTCAGGCAGACAAATATTCCAAGGCTGCATCAGACTTGGGAGCAGACACACACAGCACAGAGGGCAGGCTGAAGCCCACAGACTCCTACCCTTTCTTTTGGGCTGCAGAGTTACACAGACACATAATGATGAACACAATTACCGGACTCGGCACACGATGCCCTGCTCTCACTGGCTTTACACCCCAGATTGAGCACACGGAAAACGACAGAAGAAAGATCTGGCATAACTGAAGAATCGACCCGTCCGGGTTGGGAGGGAAAGTGAATCCTCTGACCCACTGCCCCAAAGGGAATGATGACCCCAGCCCCAGCAAGGCCCTCCCTGCTCACCTGCCCCCCCGGGGCAAACAGCAGAGTCTCGGCCCTTTCACCCCACCCCTCCCCACAAGCTCTGCAGCCGCTGCCGGCGGGGTCCACACGCCCCGGGACGGGAATCCCGCCCCGGCACCCCCAGACCCCGCGGG